CTGGAAACATCTAACCTCGCATTGCGCGACAGTTTCTACTTGTACAGTTGTTATCACGTGACCACTAAGAGCTTTGCCAAGGTCGCGAGGTAAGAATTCCAGTATTCGGCAAATGTCTGGAAATGAAATTCGTCAATGAAACCGAATTTGATCTTTTCAAAATGATGTATGGATGAATAGTGAAAAAGTTCATGAAGGTCATAAAACCAAAGTGAACGCATCAGCCGATCAGAAAGAAAGGACGTGTCACGAGGAGCCAATGAGATTTCAAGGACAATGAGTGTAAGCTGCGCGAGAAAACGTTAGCGGCGCCTTCGTCGCGATTTGTTTTAGTCTGGCATCCGATTGGTCGGGTAAGTGAGACGATGTTCTTAGCGAGTCACAACCTTTCCGGTGAAGTGAATCGATGCAATCTTAAAGGGGGGGGGAGGGAAGGTATGTTTCTAAAGAAACTGAGGTGCTGCGTCGGTTAAAGTATTACATGATACTTTAGTTTTTATCAACTGAATTCATAATATATTGGCCAACGTGAAGAGTTTCTCAAGCTGATTTTCGAGTGTTATCCCCTCGTCAGAGTGAAGCTTTACAATCTTAGACCATTTTCGACACTAAATTGAAAGCTTTTTCGTTTTGATTTCTCGCTCCTATTAGCTTTACGCTGGCAAATGGTATAGATTATTGTGAAGCACGCCAGGAATTAAGAAAATCAGCACAGCTGGTACATTCAACTTTGCTGAAATATTCGTTCTTTTCAAAAAATTTATATCGTAAAATAATTGTATGTATCACACATGCAAATAGCGCTTTTCGCACGCGCTCATTAGCTCATTCGGAAATGATCAGCAAGTAGTATTCATGAGAGACAAAATCGAGCGTCGAGAGTTTAATTTTGGATCGTATTTTGGTTTGGTATACTGACAGAAATAAACTAATATTTGGTTTCTGTAAAGAAGATACTAAGCCAATTATTCACCTTAGTGGTAAAATTGGTTGATATTTACCTCCACGTGGGTGGGCAATTGTCTATAGTGCATTAATGCATCAAGCAACGCTGCGCTTCTTTATGTTAGTACATAAACTGGTAAATTATTAAAAAACTCAAGAGGTGGGAAGCAAAAGAAGATAGAAGTTGGCTCTTTAGTTCTGAACTACCGAGGAGCGAGTATAACCAGGCGTTTTGACGAGAACATCAGCTTGTTAATCCTCCTTTAAACGAGCAGTATGTTAATTTAATGCCTCGTTTGAATTTCTAGGAAACGTTGGAATGGCAGCTTTTGCTTGAGATTTTCATATAGACTTAAAACAATAGTTAAGAAAAAAAGCTCTTTGAAAACTAAATTTTCTTCGGCAAGCTCAAAAACTACTTAACGACACCGGCAATCACTTTTTAAGCTTCAAAATTTTCAGAAACTTACCACCTCCGTGAACACTTGATATATGTAGCGTAAACGAGAAGCTTACTATTATCATTGAAACAAATAAATTAACCATGTTGTCTTCACTGGACAAATATAATGATAGTTTAACAACAAACTGTATCATTGATCGTTAAACGGTTGACCCTGAATAGCCGGGGAACCACAACAACAATGATTTACATGAACAAGAATAATTATAGAAGTAATTACAAATTAATTGGCGATGCACAGATGTCGCTAATGAATTTGGTCGCCAATAACACGTTGATCTTGGAATGATACACAAGAAAGGAAATAGTATACAGAGGCGAGCTTCATTAAAAGAACAAACCACAAAAGAGGCTTGAAAAACTTTACGCGCCCAAAATGAAGCTATACAGGTGAATTGGTATTACTAACATCTAAAAGGCACGGGTGCGGTGCGAATCCTGTCGAAACCCAATTTTTTTAAAGTAATCTTTTAATCAATTTTTCTTTTATAGCAGCTCGCTTACGTGGATCATTTCTTTACTTCTTCAATATTTTATTTTGTTAGCCGGTCAACTCAACTAAGCTGTTTTTCTGACTATAAAAGCAGCTTCATTTACACAACAGTATAAAATGCTTTTCACCCAGAGTCTTCATTTTTTTCCTTATTATTATTATTATTATTATTATTATTATTCTCTTTTTCTCTATTCAAGAGCGCACCTGGTCAGTTCCCAGCCATCTTGAGTGACGCTCACCATGAAGAAGCGGAGGAGCACAAAGCACGATGGGTACCTTTCCATCGTCATCATCATCAATAGCTCGTATATAAATGGAAGTCATTTACCAAAGAAATTTACCCAGAGCATCGTTTGAACGAACATGTACAAAGATCTATCACTTTCTTGTTGTTTTCCTGGGGATATTCTTTAATTCAGTATTATGGGAAAATTTTCGATTAAAACTCAACAGTCCACACTCTGAAAGCAAGGCTTGGATGCCTGGGGGCGAAATCCGACGAAAACCTGCATGTATTATGATATCCTTTTTTTAGAGAGATCATGAGAAGATGGCTATAAATGGCCGGAAAAATGTATTTTTTAACACTGATACTTTCTAAATCTTATCATCATTTTACGTTTGAAAGCTGCCACGAACGAATATTTCGAAAGTAGCAGATAAAAAAATTCGGCTATCATCGGTCAACTGACCGACTGACTGACTGACTCGCCAACGATCAACTGACTGACCTTTTGACTGAGTGAATGGTTGACTGTCTAACTGATTGACTGACTTACTGAAGGTACAACAATATATTGTGCGCCACAAAAACTCTTTCAGCCATAATTTATCTCAGTCCAACACTCATCAGTCTGCTGCTTCGCGTCCGATGTCCATTGACGTTAAAGGCGACTCCAGCATAACTTGAATCAGTTGACGCTGACCGGAAGTAAGGGGTGAGCCAATCAGCACACCAACGATCGCAACTCTTATAACCGACAGACTGACTGACTCGCCAACAACCAACCGACCGACCTCTTGACTGAGTGAATGGTTGACTGTCTAACTGACTTACTCACTTACTGAAGGTACATCACCATATTGTACGCCACAAAAATTCTTTCAGCCATCATTTATCTCAGTCCAACACTCATCAGTCTGCTGCTTCGCGGCTGATGTCCATTGACGTTAAAGGCGACTCCGGCATACTTTGAATTAGTGGACGCTGACCGGAAGTAAGGAGTGTGTTTATCACCACACCAATGACTACACCCTTTATAACAGTTTGTATAACCAGATATGAAAAAGCCAGAGTAGAAGCTGTGGTTGCAGATAAGAAGCTGGTATTCATGACTTGTGGTAGCTACACCTCCACCTAGCCACAGGCCGGAGATTTGTGTCTGGTAATTTCCCTCTGCGACGAGACTGGAATTAAGTTTATAGGTAAAGAAAGCCTTTTCATTCGTGGTCTCATCCACAAAGAGAATTTCCCGAAACTGCAAGCAAAAAAAAAGGAAAAAACAGTGAAAAAGACTGTCGTGTTGAATAACATGACTAGGTTAAGAGAACAAGAACAATTAGATTAAGAATCTTCAGACTGAAACTTGATGAAAAAAGCACCATTCTGGTGATAAGAAATAGTTAAGCATTCCAAAGAAGAACAGGTTCTTATTTTGAAAATGTGGTCATCAAATTTAGGAAACAGTGACACATGTTCAAATTATGAATGCCAGACCAAATGAAGCACGGTACAGAAGGTACTGAAATTCTTGTAGTAAATTTGGCATTCCAGGGGGGATAACTGTCAGTTCTCATCTACAGCATGGTACAGAGTTGGTTAAAAACCTAAATATCTAATAAAAAAATAAAACTCCCAGTGAAAATAAAATATTTCCGGAATAAAAAAAAACGATTAAGAACCTCCTAAGAATAACATGAGGGCAAGAGAGTGTTTATAAGTTATTTATTAGGCTGATTACTCATTATGGCGCCTGAAATATGACAAACACATAAGCCAGGATTTGCCAAACATCGTTATTCCTCAAAATTAAACTCTTGCACCTTAACCTCTTTCAATCACCTGAACATTATTGCAGTCAGTTCGGTAACCATTTGTGCCATAGCGATAATTCTCGTCATAGGTCACTTCTGTTTTAGGGTCAGCAAGATCGTCAGTAGAGTAACACATCGTCCATCCTCCTCCAAATGACGTCATATCACAATACGCCCAGAATTTGTTTTGCTCGATGTTCGGTTGTATTTCGTACATCCCATCTGGAGCATTCGGGAATGTGGCCTTGATCTCCTTGCAATTAATTCCTTTAAAAGAGACAAAAGAGAAAAAAAAGTTAGATACCAGGCCTCGTTATTAGCGATATAGGACACGCTTTTTTCCGCCCGTGGGAAGATATGAAACGAGTCGGGAAGAGGTTAGCCGGAGGTCTGACATCATCAGTGTTTGTCATTAAAATCTAAGCAGTCACGGGCAATTCACCAGCTATTTACAAAGGATTAAAAGCTGTTAACTATTAATCGTACTAATTGCACTATATCACCAAGCCTTAGAGAGCTTTATTGATTTCTCGTTTGAACGACCCGAGGGATTCCGCTCACCAAGCCTCGCCGGGAAGGCTATTCCACAACGTGGGGCCATTATAACTAAAAATATTTTAAAATGAATTTGTTAGTGGTATTCGAACATTAAGTTTGTTCTCGAAGTCCCTCAGGTTGTAGCTTGTACTGCGTTAAAAATGAAGTCGCGTACACACCTCCCGCCGGCTCGCGTTGCTTAGGGCATCATACTCTCTCGCCGACGTTTCCCATTAGCTTACCTGTCATAAGCTGGCAGACTCCTACGTCATCAAACACACCGCTGACACAATTGCATACATATGAGCCCGCGGTGTTAACGCACTCCTCGTTCACCGGGCAGTTGAACTGGTTGGTTTCACACTCGTCTATGTCTGCAGCAAAGAGCGACTTTCAAATGAGTGACGGGGAAAATCAGCTCAGGGAGGTCAGTTAGGTCAAGTATCGAAAGTGATCCTGAGTTGCTTTGTATTTGCTTCACCCCGTTCTGTGATTGGTCATTAATACTCGCTCTATGCTCTCAATATATTCATGCAATCAGATGCAAAACTAAAAACAATCGCGTCTTAATCCTTTAACTCACAAGATCTGATTGTTAATTCTCCCCTCCAGCTGCTACACATTTCCTTGTAAATTGGTTACTAGAGCTTGGTGCTAGATCAAGATAGCAGCTTCTATCTGATAAGTTCGAATATTCTCATTACCTGTCTGCTGAATAATGTATGGATATTGTAGGGAGAAATTTCATGTTAATCACTTCTAAGAGATAAAGGGTTAATTCACGAGGTGACACTTAATTGCTTGGTGTGCTTAACATACCCGTTTCACAGCTGTTCCCGGTAAATCCTGGTGGACACAGACACTGGAAAGTTGTCTCCGTGAGGGAAACACATGTGGCGTTATCAGGGCAAGGACTTGACGAACAGCGACTCTAACCAAGAAATAAATGAAATATTGGTCACATTATTCTGGCTTATTCGCCGGAACTTGAAAATGAAGTGGGCAAAACTTTGGAGATTCAAATAACGGCGTAATTCCGAGAAAAAATAAGAGTTAAGTGAGTGTGCCCGATACAAAGAAGTTACAGTATGTCGCATTTAATCCCAAAATATATATTATTTGTTAAATACATCAGCAAAGATTTCGAAAACTTATCGATGACACGTGCTGACTGACTAGAATCTTGCCAAAAGGGATAAATTTGTTCCCTGAATTTAGTAAAACCCTACGCAATTTCTTTTTTTTAAGTCAGCTACACGGCATATTTATTTTAAATACATAAAAATTGACGAGATTTTCAAAATTAAACTTGTAAAGTTAGATTATCAGTCAACATTAGTCTCCATTCTCCTACACTCCAACATTGTTTCAAAACGAGGCTATTATCGTTCGAAACCTTTAAGTGGAAATCATATTTTCTCCTAATGTAAATAAACTTCATTCTCATGACAAAAGCTTTGCTAATTTAGCATCATTCTGAGGGTAAGGTGTTTTGGAACTCAGAAACTGTCCATTACATTGTGTACCTCAGTTGGTCTGTATATGTACCCTGCCATAGGAACTAAATCAGCAGGGTCTCGGATGTGATCCGATTTGCTGAGCTCACATTGATGTCCACCAGCCTGTTTGGGTCCTATGTTATAGGAGAGACACATGAGGTCGCGGAAACAAGCAATCTCACAATGGTCATTTGTCTCCACTGGTATCGTTTTGATCACGTGACCAGTAAGGGCTTTATCAGCAATGCGTTGTAAGAAATGCACTTGTCGGCAGACATCTGTAAATAAAACAAGTAGTAACATGAGCTTTTTTTTCAGATATGGTTTGAGAGGGTTTTCAATAATATTTTCCACAGGCTTCTGCCGATGGTGTGCCCGGAGAGGGCCATAAGGCGAAACTCAAATATGAATGCCTGGTTATAGGTTAAACAGACTGTGGTAAGTCTTAGCAATAGAACATCGGTAGCGGCTTTTTATAAACCATTGCGTCTGAAATTATTAGTTTATAAGGTAAGAGTTATTTTTTATATCAATTTGAGCAAGCAAACGTCGTCGTCTACCACTGTATATGAAACTCAGGTCACTGAGCTAACCTTAGTTTTTCCCGCCATCTTTGCGACAACTTTTCAAATCATTTGTTCAAAGTTGAACAACAGTTTATTAAGTTTATCAAATGCATGAAAGGGAGAAGATGCAAGCGCGTTTTTCTAAAAAACAACAACTTTGGGGGAACTCTCAGCACTGAAAGAAACACATTTACGTTAGCGCTTTTCTCGCAACTTTTCCACCATAATGCAACAAATTCATCATTGAAATACATTTTTTTCCATTCACAGCGTTCCCTTTTGATGAGTGTCAGCTGCAACATTCAAAAACCACCGTCCATTTTATTCCTCCCTTGTTGTATCGATCCGAAATAACTCCTCATTTTGAGTTGAATATCCTCACTGCACATCGAGGGAAACATCTACATATGCATGTTTTTAACCGCAAAGTATCATACTTAATTCCATGACCCGCGACCAAGAGGTGTTTCGAGAGACACCTAATTAGCATGAAATCACTTTTATGCAGCAGAACTGAGCGGTAAAGAGTAATGATAAAGTTTGTCGAATATTTCCAAAGGAAATTAATTGTCTCAGTTGCTGCTAAAGGTGTACAAGTTTTGATAATCATAATATCTATGTCCATTTTAGATCACGAGATTAAGAATTTTTATTCTATAACTATTTCCACCTTCATATTACCACTTACCCCTCCAAAGTCCTGCGAAGTTTGAGTTTAGTTGGGAATAGAAAAAGTTGCAAATTTCCCTTAGTTTTTGTTATGCATCATCGTATTAGGAAGCAATTACAGCGAGTATAGACTTAGTTACTGCGTTTAGTATTGTTAGTACTAAGTGTTAGCCATAACATTTTAACATGGAAAGTCATGACGGGTAAATTAACGGTTCAGGCTCATAGTGCGAGCTGTACACCTGTTCCGGTGTCTTGGTCGTAAACACAACTAAGAATTCGACTTCATTTACCATGAATTAGTAATGAAAAGTAAATTATCGGTCCTCGATATATAAAGTACTCTATCTTCAAAAATTTTACCAAGTCCCTGCTAAGTGTTGCGAGATTAGTGGAACAAAACAATGGAAAATCCTCCTATCAGCTGAAGTATTTACAAGTGATAAAATGTTGTCGATAGTCTTCCGAAATATTTTTAGGCTTGTTTCATTTTCAGTGCTTGAATCTTCGTGGTGTGTTTGACTAAACTCTCGTCGTGAGAACAACTTTCCGTCTCTACCATCATTCAAGACTGCTTATTGCTACCCTCGAGATGGATAACTGAAACGTAAGCAGAACTGCGAGCGAGAAAATGATGCTTTGAGGAGTAAGAACTTTCCCAGGCTTCAACCTTGGTGACAAGGTAAAATATGAACGTATTTTTTTTCCTTTTTCATATTATGCTCTCTAACTTTAATTGATTAATTTGAGAGACTTACCGCTACCTCCGACAATCACGAAATGAACTGCGAACATAATGTGATGTAATAAAGCGAAGGCGAGAGACATGTTGAAATAGTCACTTTGCTGTCAAGTTTCTAATTTAGATTGAAAGAACAGTTGGGAAAACCTGACAGCTAAACGATCCAATGCGAGGCCAGTTTAACACTCCAAAGCGAGGCAACCTTATGTCTTGTTATGACGTTACTGTGGAAACCATCGCCATAGCTAATTACCAGACAAATACAAAGATGGAAGATCTGTAAATTAATAAACTCGTAAAGGTGATTCAACTGAAAAGAAATAATTAATACAAATATCTAAGTACAAATATGATAACATCAAGAATAACGACAAGAGTAAAAACAAAGCTACATGAACTAGAAATGAACTTACAATTTGTGGCATAACCAGGTCCGATAGGAAAAACTCTCAAACAAAAGTACCACGGCGCTAGCAAAAACCAACGAAACGACTGCCCTAATTGAGGTCAACCAGCGAATGAAAAATCTGGAAAAGACAACGCTTATACTGGCTACCGGTGTTACGTAAACCTTACATAACCTCACGCAAAACGCAAACTTGAGGAATAGAAAGGAAAACAATCTACACTTAATGTATGGCTCCGAGGGAAGCAGTTTTGTTTTCCTGAGAGTCGTGATGTTTCCCGACAGCAGGACCCAAAAGAAAACAAAACAAACACCTTAGGTGCTTTGTTATATGTTTAGACTTTCCCTGAAACAGTCATATGGCAAAAACAAACAAACAAAGACGGCACAACTTCTTTATTTACAATCTTCAACCCTGCTGAATGAATAAGTCTTAACTTAATTACAAAATCAAGCTGACGTCAGTCTCGAGCCATGGGTCATTTTGGCTCCTTGTCAACGGTTTGGTCGCCAAACAATCGTAAGTACGTCATGCATGGACATTACTGTACGTATGTAATGTATAGTACAAGAATTTTGTCGCCGATAATACGTTGATCTTCTAGTGATACACAAGAAACGAAATGGGTGGAACGATGGGTAACTTTCTATCATCATTAACATTAATAGCTCGTATACAAATAGAAGTCATTTACCAAAAAATTTACCTAAAGTATCGTTCGCACGAACATATACATAAATCTTTGCCACTTTCGTGTTTTTTTTCAAGAGTATACTCTTTGATTTCAGTGTTATGGGAATATTTTTCGATTAAAACTCAACAATCTCTAAAAGCAAGGCTTGGAAATCAGACGTAAACCTGCACATATCATAATATCTTTTTTTAGAGTGATAACCGGAGGAAGGCTATAAATGGACGAAAAACCTGTGGTCTGAGAGTTTTTAACACCGACACGTTCTAAATCTTATCATCATTTTACGTTTGAAAGCTACCACGAATGAATATTTCGAAAGTAGCAGATAACAACATTCGGCTATAATCGGCCAACTGACCGACAGACAGACTGACTCGCCAACAACCAACCGACAGACCTCTTGACCGAGTGAATGGTTGACTGTCTAACTGACTGACTCACTTACTGAAGGTACATCACCATATTGTACGCCACAAAAATTATTTCAGCCATCATTTATCTCAGTCCAACACTCATCAGTCTGCTGCTTCGCGACCGATGTCCATTGACGTTAAAAGCGACTCCGGCATACTTTGGATTAGTGGACGCTGACCGGAAGTAAGGAGTGAGCCAATCACCACACCAATGACTGCACCCTTTATAACAGTTTGTATAACCAGATATGAAAAAGCCAGAGTAGAAGCTGTGGTCACATATAAGAAGCTGGTATTCATGACTTGTGGTAGCTACACCTCCACCTAGCCACAGGCCGGAGATTTGTGTCTGGTAATTTCCCTTTGCGACGAGACTGGAATTAAGTTTATAGGTAAAGAAAGCCTTTTCATTCGTGGTCTCATCCACAAAGAGAATTTCCCGAAACTGCAAGCAAAAAAAAACAAAAAACAAAAAAAAAAAAGAACAGAGAAAAAGACAGTCGTGTTGAATAAGATGACTAGGTTAAGAGAGCAAGAAAAAGTAGATTAAGACTCTTCAGACTGAAACTTGATGAAAAAAGCACCATTCTGGTGATAAGAAATAGTTAAGCATTCCAAAAAAAGAACAAGTTCTTATTTTGAAAATGTGGTCATCAAATTTAAGAAATATTTCCAGAAAAAAAAAACGATTTAGAACCTCTGAAGAATATCATGAGGGAAAAAGAGTGTTTATAAGCTATTTATCAGGCTGATTACTCATTGTGGCGCCTGAAATATGACAAACACATATGCCAGGATTTGCCAAAAATCGTTATTCCTCAAAATTAAACTCTTGCACCTCAACCTCTCTTAATCACCTGAACATTATTGCAGTCAGTTCGGTACCCGTCTGTGCCATAGCTATAATTCTCGTCATAGGTCACTTCTGTTTTAGGGTCAGCACGATTGTCAGTAGAGTAACACATCGTCCATCCTCCTCCAAATGACGTCATATCACAATACGCCCAGAATTTGCTGTTCCCGATGTTCGGTTGTATTTCGTACACCCCATCTGGAGCACTCGGGAATGTGGTCTTGATCTCCTTGCAATTAATTCCTTTTAAAGAGACAAAAAAAAAAGATACCAGGCCTCGTTATTGGCGATATATGTCACGGTTTTTTTCATTGTCATTAAAATCTATGCAATCACGGGCAATTCACCAGCTATTTACAAAGGATTAAAAGCTGTTAACTTTTAATTGTACTAATTACACCATATCACCGAGCCTTAGAGAGCTTTATTGATTTCTCGTTTGAACGACCCGAGGGATTCCGCGCACCCAGCCTCACAAGGAAGGCTATTCCACAACGTGGGGCCACTATAACTAAAAATATTTTAAAATGAATTTGTGGTGGTAAGTTTTTCTCGGGTCCCTCAGGTTGTAGCTTGTATTGCGTTAAAAATGAAGTCCCGTACAGACCTCCCGCCGGCTCGCGTTGCTTAAGGCATCATACTTTCTCGCGGACGTTTCCCATTGGCTTACCTGTCATAAGCTGGCAGACTCCTACGCCATCGAACACACCGCTGACACAATTGCATACATATGAGCCCGCGGTGTTAACGCAGTCCTCGTTCACCGGGCAGTTGAACTGGTTGGTTTGACACTCGTCTATGTCTGCAGAAAAGAGCGACTTTCAATGAGTGATAGGGAAAATCAGCTCAGGGAGGTCAGTTAGGTCAACCATCGAAAGTCATCCTGAGTTGCTTTGAATTTTCTTTACCTCGTTGATTGGTCATGAATTCTCGCTCTATCCTCTCAATCAGCTCATACAATCAATACAAAACTAAAAACAATCGCGTCTTAATTCATGAGGTGACACTAAATTGCTTGGTTTGCTTAACATACCCGTTTCACAGCTGTTACCGGTAAATCCTGGTGGACACAGACACTGGAAAGTTGTCTCCGTGAGGGAAACACATGTGGCGTTATCAGGGCAAGGACTTGACGAACAACGACTCTAACCCAGAAATAAATGAAATATCTGTCATGTTATTCTGGCAGAGAAATCATGAGCAGTCGCCAAAACTTGAAAGTGAAGTGGGCAAAACTTTGGAGATTCAAATAACGGCGTAATTCCGGGCAAAAATAAGAGTTAACTGAGTGTGCCCGATACAAAGAAATTACAGTATGTCGCACTTAATCCCAAAGACCAAAAAGATATATTGTTTGTTAAATACATCAGCAAAGATTTCGAAAACTTATCGATGACACCTGCTAACTGACTAGTAAAACCCTGTGCAATTTCTTTTTTAAGTCAGCCACACGGCATACTTATTTTACATAAATTAAAACTGATGAGACTTCATTTTCAAAATTAAACTTATAAAGTTAGATTTTCAGTCAACATTAGTCTCCATTCTCCCCCTCTCCAACATTGTTTTGAAACGAGGCTATTATCGTTCGAAACCTTAAAGCGGAAATCATATTTTCTCCTAATGTAAATAAACTTCATTCTCACGACAAAAGCTTTGCTAATTTAGCATCATTCTGAGGGTAAGGTGTTTTGGAACTCAGAAATGGTCCATTACATTATATACCTCAGTTGGTCTGTACATGTACCCTGCCATAGGAACTAAATCAGCAGGGTCTCGGATGTGATCCGATTTGCTGAGCTCACATTGATGTCCATGAGCCTGTTTGGGTCCTATGTTGTAGGAGAGACACATGAGGTCGCGGTAACAAGCAATCTCACAATGGTCATCTGTCTTCACTGGTATCGTTTTGATCACGTGACCAATAAGGGCTTTATCAACAATGCCTTGCAAGAAATGCACGTGTCGGCAGACATCTGTAAAAACAAGGAGTAACATGAGAATTTTTTTTAGATATGGTTTGCAGGGTTTTCAATAAAATTTTCCACAGGCGCCGATGGTGTGCCCGGAGAGGGCCGTAAGGCGAAACTCAAACATGAATGCCTGGTTGTAGGTTAAACAGACTGCGGTAAGGGTTCGTAATGGCGGCAGTAGAACATCGGTGGCGGCTTTTTATAAACCATTGCGTCTGAAATTATTAGTTTATCAGATAAGAGTTAAGGGTTATATCCATATGAGCGAGGAAACGTTGTCGTTTACCACTGTATATTAAACTCAAGTCACTGAGCTAAGCTTAATTTTTCCCACCATCTTTGCGACAACTTTTCAAAATCATTTGTTCAAAGTTGAACAACTCTTTATTAAGAATGAATTACTTATAAAATCAAATGCATGAAAGGGAGAAGATGCAAGCGCGTTTTTCTAAAAACAATAACTTTGGGGGAACTCTCAGGACTGAACGAAACACATTTACGTTAGCGCTTTTCTTTTCCACCATAATGCAACAAAGTCATCTTTAAAATACATTTTTTTCCATTCACAGCGTTCCCTTTTGATGACTGTAATCTGCAACATTCAAAAACCACCGTCCATTTCCTTCCTTCCGTGTTGTATCGATCCAAAACAATTCCTCATTTTGAGTTAAATATCCTCACTGTACATCGAGGAAACATCTACATATGCATGTTTTTAACCGCAAAGTATCATATTTAATTCCATAACCTCCGACCAAGAGGTGTTTCGAGAGACACCTTATTTGCATGAAATCACTTTTAGCAGCAGAACCAAGCGGTAAGGGGTAATGGTAAAGTTTGTCGAATATTTCCGATGGAAATTAATTGTCTCAGTTGCCGCTAAAGTTGTACAAGTTTTGACAATCATGATATCTATATCCGTTTCAGATCTCGAAATTAAAAGTGTTCATTCTATAACTATTTCCACCTTCATTTTACCACTTACCCCTCCGAAGTCTTGCGAGGTCTGAGTTTAGTTAGGAATCGAAAAAGATGCAAATTGCCATTGGCTTTTATTATGCATTATTGTATCAGGAAGCAAACACAGTGAGTATAGACTTAGTTATTTCGTTTATTATTGTTAGTACTAAGTGTTAGCCATAACATTTTAACATGGAAAGTAATTACAGGAAAATTAATAGTTCAGGCTCATAGTACGAGCTGTACCTATTCCGGTGTCTTGGTCGTAAACACAGCTAATAATTCGACAGCATTTACCATGAATTAGTAATGAAAAGTAAATTATCAGTCCTCGATATATAAAGTATCCTTATCTTCAAACATGTTTCCAAGTCCCTGCTAAATGTTGCAAGATTAGTGGAATAAAACAACGGAAAATCCCTCTATCAGCTGAAGTATTTACAAGTGATAAAATGTTGTCGATAGTCTTCCGAAATATTTTTACGCATGCTTTATTTTCAGCGCTTAAATCTTCGTGCAAATTATAGTTAGCAGGAGATCGATCTGAAACACCTAATGTGTCTGACTAAACCTTCATCGAGAGAACAACTTTCCGTCTCTACCATAACTCAAGACTGCTTATCGCTACCCTCGAGATGGATAACTAAAACGTAAGCAGAACTGCGAACGAGAAAATGATGCTTTGAGGGGACACAACTTTCTTAGGTTTCAACCTTGGCGACAAGGTAAAGTATGAAGGTTTTTTTTCCTTTTTCATATTATGCTCTCTAACTTTAACTGATTAATTTGAGAGACTTACCGACACCTCCGACAACCACGAAATGAACTGCGAACATAATGTGATGTAATAAAGCGAAGGCGAGAGACATGTTGTTGAGATGGTACTTTGCTGTCAAGTTTCCAGTTTAGATTTAAAGAAGAGTTGGGAAAACCCGACAGCTTAACGATCCAATGCGAGGCCAGCTTAATACTCCAAAGCGAGGCAACCATATGTCTTGTTAAGACGTTACTATGGAAACCGTCGCTACTGCTAAATACTACAGGTTTACGCCAAACCTGAATGCGCGTTTAATAACTCCCAGATAGGCAAATGTAGAGATGGAAGACGTGCAAATGTATAAACGTGTAAACGTGATTCGACTGAAAATTAATAATCAATACAAATATCAAAGTACAAATATGATAACGTCAAGAATAACGACAAGAGTAAAAACAAAGCTACATGAAAAATAAATGAACTTAGAATTTGTGGCATAACCAAGTCCGATAGGAAAAACTCTCCGAAAAAAGTACCACGGCGCTAGCAAAAACCAACGGAACGACCGCCCTAGTTGAGGTCAACTAGCGAATGAAAAATCTAGCAAAAACAACGCTTATACAGGCTACCAACGTTACAAAAAGCTTACGAACATTATTGAAAGAAAAAAAGGTAACCATGTTGTCTCCACTGGACAAATATGATGATAGGTAAACAAAGAGCTGTTTCACGGATCGTTTGACGGTTGACTGGGGGAACCACAACCACAGTGATTTACATGAACCAGAATGATTCTAGAAGTAATTACAATTTGCCATGCACTGATGTCGCCAATGATACTTTGATCTTCGAATGATACACAAGAAAAGAAATAATATACAGAGGCGAGCTTCATTAAAAGAAAAAAACGTTAAAGAAGCTTAAAGAAATTTACGCTCCTAACACGAAGCTATACAGAAGAATTGGTATCAATAACATCTGAAAGGCACTAGTGCGAATTCCCGTCGAAATCACTTCAATCAATTTCACTCATAGCAGTTCGCCTACGGGGAGTCATTTCTTTACTTCTTTAATTTTTTATTTTGTCCGCCTGTCAACTGAACTAACCTGTTTTTATGACTTAAAAGGAAGCTTTATTTGCACAACCGCAAACAGTGCTTTTCACATTAAGTTTTCATTTTTGCTTTCATTTTTTTCCTTATTATTACTTGGGTCTTTTTCTCTATTGAAGAGTGCACCTGGCCCATTCCCAGCCATCTTGAGTGACGCTCGCCATGAAGAAGTTGGGGAGCACAAAGCACGATGGGTATCTTTCTATCACCATCATCAATCGCTCGTATACAAATAGAAATCATTTACCGAAATATTTACCCTAAACATCGCTTGCACAAAAATGTACACAAGTCTTTATCACTTTCTTGCTGTTGTTATAAGTTTATTCTTTGATTTCAGACTTACGGGAATATTTTTCAATTCAAACTCAACAGTCTACAAACTGAAAGCGAGGCTTGGAGGCCAAGGAACAAAACTTGACGTAAACATGCACGTATTATGATATCCGTCCTTTTTTAGAGTGACCATCAGAAGACGGCTATAGATGGCCAAAAGACATGTGGTTTGAGAGTTTTTAACACTGATACGTTTAAATCATCATCATTTTGCGTTTGAAAGCTGCCACGAATGAATATTTTGAAAGTAGCAGATAACAACATTCGACTATAATCGGTCAACTGACCGACAGACCGACTGACTGACTGACTGACCAACGATCAACTGACTGACTGACTTACTGAAGGTATAACACCATATTGTACGCCACAAAAACTCTTTAAGCCATAATTTATCTCAGTCCAACACTAATCAGTCTGCTGCTTCGCGGCCGATGTCCATTGACGTTAAAGGCGACTCCAGCATAACCTGAATGAGTGGACGCTGACCGGAAGTAAGGGGTGTGCGTATCACCACACCAACTATTGCACCTCTTATAACAGTTTGTATAACCGGATATGAAAAAGCCAGAGTAGAAGCTGTGGTCACAGATAAGAAGCTGGTATTCTTGACTTGTGGTAGCTACACCTCCACCTAGCCACAGGCCGGAGATTTGTGTCTGGTAATTTCCCTCTGCGACGAGACTGGAATTAAGTTTATAGGTAAAGAAAGCCTTTTCATTCGTGGTCTCATCCACAAAGAGAATTTCCTGAAACTGCAAGCAAAAAAAAAGAAAAAACAGACAGGAAAAGACTGTCGTGTCGAATAAGATGACTAGGTTAAGAGAGCAAGAACAAATAGATTAAGAATCTTCGGACTGAAACTTGATGAAAAAGCACCATTCTGGTGATAAGAAATAGTTTAGCATTCCAAAAAAAAAAACAGTCTCTAATTTTGAAAATGTAGTCATCAAATTTAAGAAACAGTGACCCATGTTCAAATTATGAGTGCCAGACCAAATGAAGCACAGTACAGAGGGTACTGAAATTCTTGTAGTAAATTTGGCATTCCAGCGGGGATCACTGACAGTCCTCATCTATAGTAGGATACAGAGTGGGTTAAAACCTAAATATAGAATAAAAACGATAAAACACCCAGTGAAAATATAAAATATTTCCAGAAAATTATAACATCAGGATAAAGTAAAATCAGGGCAAGAGAGTGTTTATAAGCTATTTATCAGGCTGATTACTCATTATGGCGCCTGAAATATGACAAACACATATGCCAGAATTTGCCAAACATCGTTAATCCTCAAAATTAAACTCTTGCACCTCAACCTCTCTTAATCACCTGAACATTATTGCAGTCAGTTCGGTAACCATCTGCACCATAAGGATAATTCTCGTCATAGGTCACTTGTGTTTTAGGGTCAGCAAGATCGTCAGTAGAGTAACACATCGTCCATCCTCCTCCAAATGACGTCATATCACAATACGCCCAGAATTTGCTGTTCCCGATGTTCGGTTGTATTTCGTACATCCCATCTGGAGCACTCGGGACCGTAATCTTGATCTCCTTGCAATCAGTTCCTTTCAAAGAGAGAGAGAAAAAAAAAGAAGTTAGATACCAGGCCTCGTTATTAGCGATATAGGGCACGCTTTTTTCCGCCCATGGGAAGATTTGAAACGAGTCGGGAAGAGGTTAGCTGGAGGTCTGATATTATCAGTGTTATTATTGTCATTAAAATTTATGTAATCACGAGCAGTTCACCAGCTATTGACAAAGAACTATTAACTACTAATAATATTACTTACTTAATATTACTGCTTTCCATAAATGTTGTGCCTTAGAGAACTTTGTTGATTTCTCGTTTGAACGACCCGAGGGGTTCCGCGCAACCAGCCTCGCAAGGGAGGCTATTCCACAATATGGAGCCACTACAACTAAAACTATTTTTGAATGAATTTGTTGGTGATATTCAAACATTAAGTTTGTTCTCGGAGTTACTCAAGTTGTAGCTTGTATTGAAATCCCGTACAGACCTCCCGCCGGCTCGCGTTGCTTAAGGTATCATACTTTCTCGCGGACGTTTCTCATTAGCTTACCTGTCATAAGTTGGCAGACTCCTACGCCATCGAACACACCGCTGACACAATTGCATACATATGAGCCTGCGGTGTTAACGCACTCCTCGTTCACCGGGCAGTTGAACTGGTTGACTTCACACTCGTCTATGTCTGTAGCAAAAAGTGACTTTCAAATAAATGACTGGGAAAATCAGCTCAGCGAAGTCAGTTAAGTCAAGCATCGAAAGTGATCCTAAACTGCTTTGAATTTGCTTTACCTCGCTCTGTGATTGGTTAAGAATACTCGCTCTATCCTCTAAATCAATTCACGCTATCAGATACAAAACTAAAAACAATCGCGTCTTAATTTATGAGGTGACACTACATTGCTTGGTTTGCTTAACATACCCGTTTCACAGCTGTCACCGGTAAATCCTGGTGGACACAGACACTGGAAAGTTGTCTCCGTGAGGGAAACACATGTGGCGTTATCAGGGCAAGGACTTGACGAACAACGACTCTAACCAAGAAATAAATAAATTATCTGTCACGTTATTCTGGCAGAGAAATCATGAACATTCGCCAAACCTTGAAAATGAAGTGGGCAAAACTTTGGAGATTTAAATAACGGCGTAGTTCCTGGCAAAAGAGTTAGCTTAGTGTGCCCGATACAAAGAATTACAGAAACATTTTTTTAAATACCTCAGCAAAGATTTCGAAAACTTATCAACGACAGCTGCTGACTAAAATCTTGCCAAAGAGGATAAATTTGTTCCCTGAATTTGGTAAAACCCTATGCAATTTCTTTTTTAAGTCAGCTATACGGCATATTTATTTTAGATTAATTAAAGTTAGATGTTCAGGGAACATTAGTCTCCATTCTCCCTCTCTCTAACATTGCTTTGAAACGAGGCTATTATTATGCGACACTTTTGGGCGGAAATCATATTCTCTCCTAATGTAAATAACCTTCATTCTCACGACAAAAGCTTTGCTAATTTGGCCTCATTCTAGGGGAGAGGCCTTTTTGAAACTCAGAAATGGCCCATTACATTGTGTACCTCAGTTGGTCTGTATATATACCCTGCCATAGGAACTAAATCAGCAGGGTCTCGGATGTGATCCGATTTGCTGAGCTCACATTGATGTCCATGAGCCTGTTTGGGTCCTATGTTATAGGAGAGACACATGAGGTCGCGGTAACAAGCAATCTCACAATGGTCATCTGTCTCCACTGGTATCGTTTTGATCATGTGACCAATAAGGGCTTTATCAGCAATGCCCTGTAAGAAATGCACGTGTCTGCAGACATCTGTAAATAAAACAAGAAGTGTCATGAGATTTTTTCAAATATGGTTTGCAGGGGTTTTCAATAAAATTTCCATAGGCGTCTGCCGATGGTGTAATAGGATGCAGTGCCCGGAGAGGGGCCGTAAGACGAAAATTAACAACTGATGCCTGCTTGCAGGCTTCCCCACAATCTTTGCGAAAACTTTTCAAAATCATTTGTTTAAAGCCGAACAACACTTTATGAGGATGAATTACTTAAAAAGTCAAATGCATAAAAAATGGGAAGATGCAAGCACATTTCTTCAAAAACAGCAACTTTAGGGGAACTCTCAGGTCTTAAAGAGACATATTTACGCTTTCCTTGCAACTTTTCTACCATAACGCAACAAATTAATCTTTTAATTACTTTTTCATTTACAACGCTTCCTTGTGATGAGTGCCGGCAGCAACAATCAAAAAACACCGTCCAGTTTCTTCTTACCGTGTTATAACGATCCGAAATAATTTCTCATTTTGAGTTGAATATCCTTACCGCACATCAAAGGAAACATTTGAGTTTGTGTGTTTTTTACCGCAAATTATCATACTTCATCCTACACCTGACCAAGAGATGTTTCGAGAGACCCCTAATTAGCATGAATCATAAATCACTTTTGCCGATATAGATATTTCACGCACATATTTGTTTTTCAAACTCAACTTAATTGGCTTTTCTCTCGGTTTGCCTTTGTCAAAAACAACAACAACAAAAAATTGCGAAACCTTGAGCGCACAAAAACTAGTTTGGTGAATTGCTGTAGGTTTTTTTTTTCTGAAAAAAAAAAAATTCAGGCCTGTACGGGATTTGAAACCATAACCTCCAGTGGAGCAGTGCTCTACCGGCTGATTCAACAAGCCAACCGAGAGCTGGTCACTATACTGGTTCCAAATAAACCCGCGAGGTAATGAATAAATCCATTATTCAGGCCTGAATGTTTTTTTTTCAGGCCTTTAGTTTCACTACTGCTCAGGTAGTATTCGTTCATGCGAAGATCGCTTTCATATTCACGTCTTTATCCGCAGTTTAGCTATATGATTTTCATATAATCACAGTTACCAAATATGGTTACTTAACTCAAATATGCCGGTGAACACACCTAATCGATTATATGTAAAGGTTTACATGCATTTCTACCGTGCAAGAAATTTCACCCTAATCATTTCCACCACATACTTATCCTGTGAGCTCTGATCTTGCCTGCAAGAAATTGCTACGTCAGATTTTTTTTATGCAGCAAAACTGGTAAGATAAGTGGTAAGGGGTACTAATAAAGTTTGTCGAATATTTCCAAAGGTGTTAATTAATTGTCTCAGTTTCTGCTAAAGGAGTAAAAATTTTGATATATATCTGTTTTTCACACTGATCTCGAAATTAAAGTTTTCGTGAGTATACGGAAAGTCATTACAGGAAAATTACTAATTCAGGCTCATAATTAGAGCTATACACTTATTCCGGTCTCTTAGTCGTAAACACAACTAAGAATTCGACAGCATTTTGTATTACCATGAATTAGTAATGATTAGCCGAGTTATGTATCAGTCCTCGATATATAAGGTATCTTTATCTTCAAACATCGTACCAAGTCCCTTCTTAGTGTTGCGATATTAGTGGAGTAAAACAGCGGAAAATCCTTCCTATCAGCTGAAGTATTTACAAGTGATAAAATGTTGTCGATAGTCTTCCGAAATATTTTTACGCTTGTTGAATTTTTAGTGCATGAATTTTCGCGCAAATTTTCGTAAGTAGGAGATCTGAAACACCTGGTGCGTTTGACTAAAACTCTCATGTGAGAACAACTTTCCGTCTCTACCATCACTCAAGACTGCTTATCGCTACCCTCGAGATGAATAACTAAACCGTAAGCAGAACTGCGAACGAGAAAATGATGCTTTGAGGGGAAAGAACTTTCTTAGGTTTCAACCTTGGAGACAAGGTAAAGTATGAACGTTTCCTTTTTTCCTTTTTCGTATTATGCTCTCTAACTTTAATTAATTTAGAGACTTACCGCTACCTCCGACAACCACGAAATGAACTGCGAACATAAGGTAATGTGATGAAGCTATGGCGAGAAACATGTTTTAGAGATGATACTTTGCTGTCAAGTTTCTAAATTAGATTTAAGGAAGAGTTGGAAAAGCCTGACAGCCAAACGATCCAATGAGAGGCCAGCTTAACACTCCAAAGCGAGGCAGCCTTATGTCTTGTTATGTCGTTGCGTTGAAAAACATCGCTAACACTTTTTTTTTGAGGCAAATAATTTAACTCATCTTGAAGAAGGCACACTAAAGAGATTCTACGAAAGTCATAACCAGCTTTGCCGGAAATCTTCGAAAAAGGCTGTCTGCAAACGTGACTCAAATCTAAACTTAACCAAATAATATTTATTTTGATTTGATTTAAAACGGCTTTCTCCTAATATCACCCACCACATTAAATATTGAATATTTATGTCCTAATGCAATTATCACGATCCTTTTTGTATTGTCGTGACATTTGCAGCGAACATTTGTTTGTGATGTTTGCACGAGGCTCTGGAATGGTGGTTTTGCGTAGTCCTCGCTTGGCCGCGCGAATTCTAAGTACCACTTAGAATGGTCAAAGTCAATAAAATATCAGCATACGAACTAAAATGAGCTGGTTTCCGAGCTTCATCCTGCACCATATTTCTTTAGGATTAAAAGATATCGAAAACATCAGAATAATAAACATGAATTTTAAAATATTAAAAATATTACTGCGCGCGCGAAAGTTAACGGGACTTTAGAGAAACGGCCCCCCTGGCGTGACTTACTGGCGTAAATAAGCCAGAATTTAGTCATGATATCTCAAAATACACCTGTCAGCGTTCAAGTCAGATTTCTTGGCCCACATAGCGCTTCAGCTTCCTACCTTGATAATCATGATGTTCGACCTCTTCGTTTCCTTTCTTATCCTAAAGATCTCGCTCACATTATATCTTCACACAGTTCAAGGAAACGGTAAGTTAAAGAATTCCATTGTTGATACCTAAAAAGCTTTAAGGTTTTCCTAACTACACGAAGTAAGGTCTTTTTTATTTATCCATAAGCATCATTCTTCATATAAAGGGAGAATTTGACTTAGTAAAAGCAAACTGTGCTCTGTCTTCTGGTCGAATTAAAAATTAGAGTGTGCTAGTTTCTGCGCTTTACCCTCGAGGATTTCGTCTTGTACAGATGTTTCTTCTTTAGCAGTTTTTTTTCTTCGTTGGAAAATAAATTTACTTAAAATTATTGCAATAATTTGTTTCGTTCAGTTTTGATTAACTTTCATTTTTACTTTTGCCATGAAATCTCATTTTGGTTTTTTTTTCTTTGATTTGTGAGAGTTATAAAATGTCCCTAGCTGAACTTCATTTAAAACTGTTTAATTAAAGAAAACCTTAAAAAAAACAACAATGTAATTATGATATTGAAGTTTGAAAGGCTCACAGTGAGACAAGTGAAAACAGTTTCCGACTAATGTGAACTTCTCCGTTTAATTGCTTTTTTTCAATTAATTATTTATGAAATGATGTCGCCAGTTCTATAGAAATGGGAAAAGTAACTATATATGTAGCTCAAGGAGAAATATTTTAGTTCAAATTAGAAAAAACAATGGAGATATTCTTCAGTGTTTACTAAAAAGCTTCCGACCCTAAACCGCAGCCCGGAAGCAGAGGCAAGACCATGGAAATATAGAAAGGTGTCATTTGCTTGAGTGTGTAAAAAATGAGAAAAGGGGAAAGCTACCAAATTCCATAAAGATCCGAACTCGGTCGTACCTGTCCAGATTTCGCTTTAGAGTCCATGTTTTAAACTTGTTGGCGAGTTAGCCCTTTCAGGCTCACGTTTGTCAAGTGCTACGCTCACTTTACTACGTTCAGCGATGTTGAAAGAGGCTTGCGCTCAAACAAACAGAGAAAGAGGGTAAATTGTAATTTCAGATCTGTCGACGAATAGCCAATTAAATTGTCACTATACAAAGTATGCTTCCTACACTGTTGAGCATGAAATTTCTCAGATTTAATTTTTTTGTATGTGTGTGTATCATGTGGATAGTCCTCGATCGTCGGTGGCCCTTCTTCTTACGTCGCCAGTCTACTCGTGACGCAACGGTGTCTTTCCTATTCATTTGCAGATGTGTGCAGACAAGCTCGGTACCAACTTCCCCTCATCAATAAATCCCTTATTGGTCACGTGATCATCAGCGTGCTTGTAAACGACAATGACGAGTGCCAGCTTCGATGTTACATAGAACCTAAGTGCCTCTCTTATAATGTGGGACCTCACATGGTTTATGGACACGAATGTGAGCTCAGTGATTCAGATCACGTGCAACACCCTCAGGATTTGGTCCTCATGCCAGGTTACACGTACATAGGGACTATGGTACAGAGTAGTCGCTGTAGACTCTCTATTTTTAACCTCTTTGATATCTGTCACGTCACCAGGTGTTTCGCCTTTTCGCTGACCCATCCTCTGTGGCTGGGAGAGAACCATTATCAATTTAGGACGTCTCTTTCACTTCTCATCATTAGTTAGAGACTAATACCCTATTAACACCAAAGCTTGAACATGTTTTAAAGTTGTTTTGTTAAACACTCTTTAACTTTTTTTTCTAGTGGAAACAACTTAACTAGTCTTTTTCTACTTAAAATATAGCACATTGGAAATACAAGTTAGCAAGTACTTGAATCCTATAGAAAAATAAGTTTTCCCAGTTCTCTCTTTATGATTTTCATTCAGTAAAAATCAGTTTAACATGTTTTGCTGGTGTATAGGGTATAGGCTTACCACCAACTAAACTCACTACTTACTATTTTGCTTTGAAATCGTATCGATTTTAATCACAGCTCTATGATCTGTAAAATTTTACGCTAGAATCATAAAACTGTCAGATTCGATCACCTTGGGATATTTGGCGCGAGAGAGAGGGAGAGAGAGGAGGAGAGAGATGGCACAGAATAAAACTATTGTCATTGGGTGAAACTCTATCCAGCCACATGAACAACTCTCAATGATTGCACCCTCTATATACATTTTTTGTTTACTTAATAACCACGAGAGTTGGTACAGTATTAGCTGTCCCAAATAACCGTTTGGCTTGGAAAAAACGGGGAAGCCATACTAAAAGGGAACCTCCAAAGGTAGAATAATATGAAAATGGCTTGCATTATGAAGATCGTTTGAAAAATTGCTGTTTTGTACTTCGCTGCCAAACCTTACGTGCCAAGAAATAGAAGAATCGCTCACTGTCTTAAAAAAGTGGAAAATATTTGTGTTCACATGAAAAGGAACTTCTTCCATTCATGATCCAACATATATTGAGCTTTAAAACCAGGTTGTTCTGTAAACTCTTAATACGCTTTGAGGACCTACAAGCACTTCTCCAGAGATTGTGTGTGGCAGAGCAGCGCATCGAGGCGAGGAGGCGCCCATCAAGGCTTTGTTACCCGCCCAAGTTATTAAAATGGCTTGTGCGTAGTTTAAATGAATATGTTACATATAAAAAATATGATATTCTTTACAGAATGGTTGCTCGTCTAGTCCATGTCTAAACAACGCCACCTGCCTTTCGTTGACACCAACAACTTTCCAGTGCGAATGTAGCGAGGGATTTACCGGGTTAAACTGCGAAACGGGTAAGTAGGCCTGGGTGTAGTTTAAGGGCGTCTTGGGAATAAAAATGAAAAGAGATTATATTAATATCGCTGCTTACTTTGATACTATGTCTTTAGGAAAGAGTTGCCGGGATATTAAAACTGCGTCACCGCACGCTCCAAATGGTATGTACCGCATATATCCTGATGGCGGGCACAGCTCTATATGGGTCTATTGTGATATGACGTCATTTGGGGGCGGATGGACGATGTGTTACTCAACCAATAACAGCGTTAATCCTAGAAAGGAAGTGACATACAACGAACGTCGGCTATATGGAACAAATGGCTACAGAACTAACTGTAATCATATTCAGGTGAGATAAAGTCTTTGATAAAGTTAGTCTTCAATAAAAAAATGAAAGAAAAACTCAAACCTAATATCTTGAATTAGCCTAAACTGATTGACATAAATTTTATTCTTCGAACAATAAGGGCCTGGTCACCGGTTATTATTCATCATCCGGAGAGGATTATGGTTGTGTACCCAATAAAATGTACCATAAAATATTTTCTTTTGTTAGCTTACGTTTACTGCTTACATTTAATGTTAAATTGGGCATGCTACATTATTAACAAGACTGTTGACCCTCAAATAACTCATGAAACTTAATTTCAAGTTCACTTATCTATCGTCAGGTTTCCCAGCATGAATTGCATGTCATTTTACAATTTATTAAGAAAACACACGAAACATTTTTCCTAAATATTATTTTGCAGTTTCGTGAAATTCTTTTTGTTGACGAACTCAAGGGTGACCAAGCCTTCTTTACATATCAGTTTGGCTCCAGTCTCGTACCAGCGGGAAATTACCAAAAACAATTTCCAGGGTTTTGGAGAGCAGGAGATGTGGCAGACACAAGATATAATTATGAGCTTCTCATCTGTAATACAAACTTCTACTCTGGATTCATCGTGACAGGCCACTTTTACTACTGCAGGAAACGCTGCACGTTCTGGTGCAGTGATATGATCTCTCCATTCTTCCGGTCAGCGACTACTTCAAGAGCATTTACTGGTGTGGCCTTTAATGTCAATGGCCACCGGCCTCTTAACAGCAGCCTGATCAGTGTTGGGCTGAGATAAATGAAATTGCCAAGCAGACTCACTTTCATAAACAACGAGGCAACTATACCATGTAAACTATTCAACCTACTCCTAATGCGAGGAACTGAGTGGTTTTTCCAATGGCCTAGTTCTTAACCCCTTCCCCCCCCTCCCTGCCTCCTCCCTCCTCAAATTCCAGAGAAAAAGCCCTCTCTACAAAGAGCACCTCAAAGGCTAACTCGTCCCCAGTCATCTCCCCTATAAATATGGTTCCATTTTAATCACAAAAGTGTATGTCTCCCGAGACCACGCCACTGCGTGTGAAATGTAAGATATTATTTAGGATGAGTCAGCTTTAAAAGCCGTTGAAAGGCTAACCTCTAACCAGACACATTTTTAAAGATGAAGCGGGCGTTTAATTTTTCCTCATCCTTTCCTATTTTCTCTTTCAATTTTGATCGATGTAGCATCAGGCGTTTAATTCAACTACCTAAAACTGACGAATGATCGCTGCAATCATCTGATGATTAGAACCAAAACTGAAAATTTAGAAACTGTGTTGTAGAAAAAAAAGCTATTTCAATCAGTTTTTATCATCGCTAGTTCACAGTTCAAGAATTGGACCACGTTTTAGGCGCGACTCGATGCGACCGAAAACTATTTTGAAATTTTGTTGAAAAAAACCGGAGATATTTTCGTTCTTAGGCTGCATTATAGGTCCGTCGAGAGAGCGAAATTCATAGTAGAAGCCCAAAAACTGTAAGTAAAAGGGAATATTCAGTGTCTGAAAGCTTAGAGTACTCAGTGGTATAGATTATTTCTGTAAATGACTCAGACATACTCGGAAAAATTGAATTCTGAGTGCTTCCCATAGGAGTCGGAACTACGACCTTCCAACTGGTACTCTGGATCGATGCTCAACCAGTGACCAATATATCAGTGGCAACCTAGGCCGTTTAACAGCTGGGTACATAGTGACAAAATTCCTGCATACTGCTAAGATAGGATTTTCGATACGTGATGCTTTTACGGAATGATGGTGTAAATAAGAAAGTGGTAATAATTATTATAAATTTTTAGCCTAGATTGTTTCAGTTGACCAAACCAGCTCTCTCAGATAGGCACGTTTGCACAGTGAATAAGTTACGCTTCTCTAGTCTTATTCAGAGAATGCATGATCGAGGGGCATGCGTGGCAACAATATTGCTTAGGAGACAACCTGCGGATTTTTCTTAATTTCCAAAGCAACTTGAATCGATTTCAACTTAAACTGGAAAACACGAAGGCTCCATTTGGCACGAAAATATCCTTGTGTATTTGTTCTAAGACGAAATTTGCTCAGAGAAGGGAAATTGTAATATAGCACGATCGATAAATGACGCTTATTAGTTGTACTGATAATCCAAATGAAATGTGTCTATGAAATGTAGCCATACAAAGCCTTAAAACGTAAATCGACCTATTATTGCATGGTTGTTATAATGAGTTATTATCCGACTGCGCTAAGTAGAGTAAAAATATCACACTGTAAAAAAAACCTGTTTAACCGGTCGGCTGCGCGTGTTACGCTTCACTATCTGCTACGCTTTCGCCGCCTTAGGAGAAATAAGTGCAAAATAAAGCAGTTGTATAGTAAATAACTTATCACACGTTTTCTTGAGTAGTATTGCTAAGTATTTTCACTTGTATTTTGTACTTTGACTCGCCTTACGGGCTCGTCAAAATGCGGCACAACTCTTAAAAATACTTAGCTACACTAACGTCTGATAAGATACATGAAAAAATGACTCAGTTCTGATTGATTAAGATAAATGAAGTTTACAGGTAATTCAATGCATAAGAGGGTTAATTCAGTGCAAAGAGGTAACAAACCAGACTGAATTTGAACTTTTTTGCGCCTTAAAGATGTGAAAATATCATTGTATATTATTGTTTTAATCGTACGCGGTTGTTTTGACCGAACATACAATGTCGCTTGCATTTGAATATATTATTTTTGCACTTATGCGCGCGCTTTGCTTCTGTATAATTATGATAAACGATCTCGTATTTTTTCATATATATTATTAATACGTAATCAAATTACTTTTCTCGTGCAATTTGGAATAAATAAGCACTTGAAATGTTTTTCAAAGACTACGGGCTCGTGCAATTTTGTCGGTCTTTGAAAAAGTTTACTCGTGCTTATTTATTCCAAATTGTACTCGAAATCATGTGATTACTTATACTAATAGGATATATATATCAGAGTAGATCTGAGTGTGCTGAATAAAGTTTTCATGGTTGCTTTTTTGCGTTCAGTCAGTAATCACCGTCAACTGGAGCCCTTAGTGGGCTATCGTTCCCTTTGTAGGCTACTTTCCAGAGTCCTCACCTCTGAGAAAGACACTATTTTACCGCAACACAATGAGGTATCGATCAATATCAGTATCTGAGCAACTGCGAACCTATCGAAAGTTTCTAACAAACAAAGAACGTTCGTATCCTGTTGATCAAAAATCGGTCCAGTATAAGGTGGGTTTTTTTTTATCGAGCGTATTTCTCGTACAAAACAAGTCATTCTTCCCGAAAATAACCCATCTGCTTCTATCTACCTGCATTAGGCCGGTGTTAGAGTATTGTGCGCCCTTATATAACCATGCGTTTTCTGCTAATTTAAGCGAAGACCAAGAGCATATTCAGAAAAGCGCGCTTTCCGTAATTCGAATTTCTCCTGGCCTTTCATATCACGTCATTTTAGAATTGTATAACATCAGATCTTTGAAAGGCAGGCGCAAAGAACAATGTTCTAAACTCTTTGACTCAGTCGTATCTGGATACTGCGCATAAACTCCATCATTTGCTGCCACCCAATAACATAAGCAGACACAATTTTAGAAACCAACGCAATTTTATGTTGCTAAAAATGGACACAAATCGTTACACGAACACATTTAATCCATCCATGTCCAATCGGTAAAACTTTAATATGTAGTCGTTTTTATAATCATTTTATATTAAATGAAAATGTCATTTTATAAATGTGTACATTAATATTATTATAACTTTTTATGAAATTCATGCAATGTAGCCTCAGGATCTTTACTCTTTTACGTCATTTACGTCACGCACCGCGCTAACATTAGAATATGACATATGCATATTCTTGAACACTCACCCCGCCGTTGAAGTTGTCCTCAAACGTGAATCAGCACATTGAAATTGCCTGGGACTGTCGAGGTGAACCCTAAAAGGAAGGTAAGTTGCAATTTGTTTTAGAAAGGTGAAGGTCAGCAAAAATTACCTCGCTTCTTTTAATTACAGTGTATTGAGAGGCAATGAACAGTGACCATTCAGTATCTGATTTGTGCCTTTCTTACGTTCATCATTTTCATAATTATTACTCAACGTGTTGTAGAGCGACATTGCTAGTTCGCTAAATTCGATTATTTTTTCATACAGGAAATCTCAGAGCGAGGAAGTTTCCAATCAGAGCGCTTCAAAAGGAAATATAAACCTTAGCTGTAATCGAATACGCCACGATAGTTCTACTGTTTCTACGTTGAATTCGTTCGAAAGGACCGACAAAGAAAGAAATATTCCTCCACGAGGCGTTTAATCAGTTCTTATTTCAGCTTTTGCAATGAGTTACCCACCTCAACCACCGCCGTACAATCCAACAGCTCCTCAGCCGAACGCTGGAGTTGATTTCGAACTATATCAACAAGGAACTCCATATCCTCCGCCGCCATATTCAGCACCATATCCTCAACAACAGTACGGCGGGCCTCCTCCACAGCCAGGCTATCCTCCGCAGCAGGGCTATCAACAGCCTTATGGTCAGCCACAGTATGTCTACACAAACCAGCCTAAAACTGTTTACGTTTATGATCAAAATGGGAGACGTAGACAAGACAACAGTGATGCTGCAGACTGCTTTCTGTTAGGGCTATGTGCTGCATGTCTGTGCTGTTGTGTTCTCGACTAATTACAGTGACATTTGAACGTGTTTATGTACGTTACATATTAGGTTTTCTATCTGTTAGCTCTAACTTGCTTCGAGAAAGCCTGTGGGTAGTTTCATAAATTCAGAAAAGAACAGAACTTGTGATATAAAATTGTGTATGTACGTGTGTGCGTGTAAGTAATATTATATTCTCAGAATTCTAAACATTGCATAATTATAGATCTGAAGTTTATCATGTTGCCAGTTTCCAATGCAAATGTAATGTGATGTAGTAGCAGGTTGTGATTCCATATATGGCAGAACAGATGAATCTTTTAAAATACAACGATAAACGAAAAATATATGGTGTAAATGTGTGACAAAGTTTCCCAAGAAGCTGAATTAGAGGGAAATTGGGGAAGAAAACATTTCTAGTTTTTTTCTAAGGATTCTTCCGAATTTTCATAATCATTGATTCAAACCATAATAGTATATTGTAAGCCATTTTGTCTAAAATTAATTTTAGATTAAGATTGCAGTGTTCAGATATGCTGAGTGTTCACAACTTTGCTCAACATAAAAACAAATTGCACTATGCAGGTGTGAAGACGAATAGTTTTTCGATCAAAACCTGTATATTGAGCTTTTATGGAGTAGACAGCTCCTGAAAGGTTTTGTTCAAAATAAAGAAGTTTTTATTCCTTGAAATATCTGCTCATAGATCATGAATTCGTCAATAAAAACTCTTTCAGAAAATTTAACCTTCTTTGGTTAAACCACCCATCTTTGTTTGGTTTGTATCAGATACTTTCATTTTTAAAGAGCAGCTTACAGGTTGTTGATTAAAAGTGCAATGATAATAATTATCATTTGCACTTTTATTTGCACTTGTATTTACAATTGTGTGCAGCTTATTCATGTCTCTGATGGTTGTCCTGTGTATTGGGACTGAAGGGAGGAGTGGGTGAGGAGGGGTTAAACCATGTTGCACCCAGGCTGTTCTCTACTTTGAATGGCATTTTGTTGGATGAACACCTTGTGATGCGTGCCGTGTAGGTTCTTTGCATTTTTACTGTCTGAACTATCGAATTTGTTTGTTCACTAACACAAGAGCACTAATCACCTAGAGGAAGCTTCGGGCACCTACAGAGTTCTGTCCTTTCAATTATCAGAAGCAATACTCACATTTATTTAATGTGATATAGATCCTTATTTTAATGAAATCCAGTATCTATACAAGTCAGTTACTGTTAATGAAGAAAGCATCCACATCTCTCATAGTATCACACATGGACTGATTAACTGAGAATTTTTAAAAGGTGTTAATTACCTCATGTAAACTTGATCAAGACAGCCACAAGAAAAATTTGATTTAATAGCATATGTACCAGAAAGTCCAGCACAATCTGACCCTTAGTTCTTGCTGGCCAAATCAGGGGAATATACTGAAATATTATATTCGCAAATGGACTTGCCACTCAGCAAATTTCCTGAACACTTCATTTTGATCAGATATAGAGGTGATTTGGAAAAGAAACTGGCTGTCCAAGATTCACAACTTTGGAGAATTTCTGAAAAAGAAACTAGAAAAAACTGGCCATTATATGAGAATCTTCAGGGGCAATCTCACCTCTAGAAATGGACATGGATTCAAAGATCATGTCTTGATCAAGCAGTGGTAGATCCAGGAATTTTTGATAGTGGAGTCAAAATTTGATAAAGAAAACTCAGAATAATTATTTTTACACAAATGCCTTGAGGTAAGCTGAGAAATATTGCAAGGAATTTTTTTTAACGCAAAAAGAATTTTGGTGTCAGGCAACTAATGAAACTAAAACCAGCAGATCTGACGGGTTGGGGGTGGAGGGTTTAGACCTTGCAGATCTTCCCCCTGAATGTGCCATGCACTGTCAAGGATGAAACTGTTTTAGAGAGTTAACTCTTTAACCCCCACAGGTGATTCACATATAACTTCTCCCCACAGCATCCATCCATCATCCAGCAGACAGGTAATAAGAGTGCTCAAATGTATCAGACAGAAGTTATTATCTTGACCTAACACCAAATTCTTGCCACTAATTTACAAGGAAATGTGTAGCAGCTAGAGGGGAGAATTAACAATCAGATCCTGGGAGTTAAAGGGTTAAGCCATTTAAGGTAGATACAAGCAGCCTTGACTGGAACTCAGTAATTCACAGTTGCACAGATTTCTTTCTTTATCATTTTATAGTAATGGTAGACCTGGTAGACAAGGAAATTTTGCTCTCCATAGATTTTCCTCGGCTAATGATGCTCAAATTTAATAACAATAATAATAAAGATAATAATAATAATAATAATAATAATAATAAAAATTTAATTATATGAAAAGCTTTTGAATGTTTTGGCCAGGCAAAGAGCCCTAACAATCAGTTCTGGCACCCAATCAGAATTAACTAATGTGGCATAGCGTAGCTCGCGATAAGTTTTTTCTGCCTTCTCTATTAGCTCAAAGAGATATGGGTCATTGACATGGAGGAAATCGAGTAGTGGAAGACGATTGCGTGAGTGGATCTCATAACGCCCACTTTGTACTAATATTGTAATTACCTTGAGTACAATGAACAAAAGTGTACTTGTACTTTTTAGTAAAGAAGGATTTCCTTTTAAGAGTGAGTAAGGCAGCTGCTATGGGGTGTGAATCACGCCTACGCAAGCTCGAACAAATTGTAAATGGCTGTAGAGGAAGTGACTGGAGTGCTTTGGAAGGTTTTCAATGTTCTTTCATAGGAACTCATTAATTTTGTTTAAAATTATTTGATCCGGTTGCCGTTTCTTCTATTTCATCTTTTGTTTTCTTTTTCCTCAATTATATCCACTCTAATAACATTCTTCCGAGGTAAAATCAGGTGGCTTAGAGCTTTTTCACTTTAAATGCTGGTAAATTATTCCTTTATTTGCAGAGATACTTTTTCAGTAGTTTCGAAACTATTATTTTTCTCTAAAAATGAAAGGCTAAGTTTCGAAATATCAGCAATCGAGGAAGAATCCGTGAAATTCCACTCCTGACGACGGCATATTTTCTGCGCGACTGTTGTTACTTACTTAGTAACGCAACTTTTTCTGTCACGCGAGAGAGTGGAAAATTCGATAACAGCGAAAGAAACTTCAGCTTCTTTCCACATATTTTCTTTTTCATTCTGACAAACTTAAGTTTGTTGAAATCTTATACTACCGGAATCGCATTCAAATTGTAAGCTATTATTTAATTCGTCTGTCAGTAAACTTCGACTGTCAGTTTCGCGCTAAAGTGTAGCTTAAAATATCACTAGTAACAGATCACATCAAAACATGAATGGAAAATGTTTTTAGAAGATAATCGAGCTATTAGTGAAGAATCAGAACATCTCTTATTTAATGCGGTTCAAACCGGATGTGTGTTATAAATAAACTCACCGGATGTAAAATATGTAGGGTATTTATCGGTATTATAAATTGGTAATGTAGTGACATAAATTATATTCGTTGCTACACAAAAGGATGATGAAGCTACATATCGTCAACGAAAAAGAGCTTTCTGAAACGGAACAGGAAAAAATCGAGGCTTTGTTCCGGTAGGGCACTTAAAATTTTGCTTAGGAGTTCTAAAAATATTGTAACAAACACAAGAGCCAGTGGAGAATACGATCTCGAACAATACGCAAAGGAATGTCGCACGATCTCTGCGTGCGCATACCGCTCAGATCCTCAACTTAGTATGGTTGTCTGTTCTTCCAGCCAGTAAATCCCTCAAAATGGACCTGATTGAGGGTAGAGTTCGGTATCGGAAAGGAAAAAAGGTAAGCTGTAAATCTTGGATAATGCTTTGTGCATTTCAGTACTCATTCATATTCTGTTTGTTGCAGTGGAAGATTCGATGGGCTGTTTTGAGACGGGTGAATCCAGCGACTGGTAAGTTGTGCACGTTTTTAACTCAAATAATTTACACGATGATTTTCGTCGCAAACACAAATTTTAATAATTGGGTTCTATAGTGCAGCTGGTGGTGTCGCGGCCTGATTTCTTTGTAAGGCAAAACGGCTGTTGTTTGATGGGTTTCGTCGAGAGTGTTGCATAAATAATTTGAGAATCGGAGAACATTATTTATCTCTGCGGTGCGGTCCGTTCAATGATTCTTCGTAAACGCAGCGGTGAGATATCGTCAATTGAACAATTTAAGAGCATTTTCGACTGTCTGAGGTTGAGTTACTGATAATGCGACAGCGACACAGTCAAGGACTCCCCTTGCTTTTAGTAAGACTAGTTCTCATTTATACTTCGAATTTTTTCTTATATTCTGTGACCTTCTTCGGCGTCTATTTGTGAAGCTCTCAATGTCCGCGGGCAAGACAAATTTGCGTGGAATTATCGCTCTAAGTGAGCCAACTAGACTTTTAATGGGAAAGGTAACTGCATACATAATAATTCTCGTGAAACTTTTGTATTATTTTGTATCTCGGAATGCCGTTGTTTCAATGATCGCGTGTCCGTTGTATACATTGCAATTTTGCTGCTTCACTCGCGCTTGATAGAACATTGAATTCTGCAAGCTGTTGCCGCATGCTGTCAGCGTTTTTTTTTTTGAAAAATTTTGCCACATCTCGCCCTCTTTAAAAAGAATCTTTGAGCTTTGAACGCAGTTGTAGGCGTCTGATCTCTTTTTCCGCTTCCAAACATTTGATTTGCCTACCCTGTATCAATTAACCGCCCAACGGCAAGTTACGTCGAAATCGCTCAGTATAAAGTGGTAAAAGTCGTTGAAAATTTGTTCGCTTCTATTATTTATCACCCTTATGGGCTAATTCATTCATTGTAGATCACCAAAGCTATTATCTCACTCGTCACTAGTTTTAGAATTAATTCAATAGAGTACTCAGCAGTTTGCTGAGAGACAATCGCAATATTTATACGAGCTAGGCTTTACGACAGCGCTTTCCATTTCCTATGTTGTTCTTTTAATATTGTCGCTGAATTTGCTCAGTTGCGTGATAAAGCGAAATTTGGTGGCCATCTATTCGCTTCAATAATTACTTTGCGTTGTAATATCCTTCCGCTGTTTAAAACGTACTTGTCTATCAGTCTCTAGTCAACGTAAATAGCAGGATTTTTTTTAAGGAAGAAACATCTCCCGGTGATAAAAATTCTGCCTAAAATAACCATGATACATACTCTATTTTTCGCTTTTCGCCTGCGTTTACTTTCGCCCACGTCGTGATTGAAAATATAAGATTTATAGAAAATAAAGCTGAACCCGCAGAACCTTTTTCTTCTGGTTTAATTCTTTCATGAAGGCTTTTTCTCAATGAGGGATACATATGACTTAATTATACTTAGTCTCATGCATACATGAATTTTATTATATTTCTTTGTACACTGGTAATAACACCACATTAATATAATATCTTCTTCAATATTCTTTCTTTCTTAATTTCGTCATTGCGACTTGAGAAACTATGATTGATGTTGTTGATAGAAGTCCAAATTGATTTTTGATCATGTGAGCATAAAACGATACCGTATTCAACTGTGACCTAACCGTAACAACATCGGCTTCGAAAATACATTGTTTGTTGAAAGGCTTTGGAAATGGAGGGTCTTGTAGACCAAATACAGCTGCAAACACATGTTTTGTTTCAAAACTTGGTAATTATTATCACTCCATATGACTCCTGGATTTAAACATGTGTTAAAAAAAGTTGTGTTCCTGAAATTGTGAAATTATAAGTAATGTGGTATAGCTGTA